TAATTTTAATATTAGCATGATGCAAAATGTTTTAAGTAATCTAAGATCAGATTTTCAAACGTGGCCACCTTTTACAGCATGTATAGGGTTTGGGCGGAGAGATCAAAGCCCATGAGCCTATGCCCAAAGCCCACAAGGGCATTTACGCACAGAGAAAAGATAAAATTTTCCAGCACAACTGTGGCAAAAGGTTACACAAACTCAAGGTCTACAGAAACCTCACTGAAATAAGCATCAAATAAGCATGGCCAATTTCAGCAGGAGTCTTGTGTAAATCATTTTGGCTCTTAAAGGTATAAGACTTCTGTTTCTTCTCCCATAAAGCCAGTAGAACTTTTGTCATTGACTACAGTGGAAAGAGAGCAGATTTTACCACGCACTGAAAATCTGCCTGTTAAAAGCTTAAGGTGCATAATTTCTGTTATAGTCACTACTCATGCTTTGCTCTGACCCAAATTTACTTTGGTGTAAACTACTCCAGAGTAAGGGTTTTTGGGCAGCCATCAACACCTGGGGATTATGGAGCAGATTGGCACCCAGTTCCCTACAGCCCTGCAATGGGCCCCTGCCACCATCGGGGGAGCTCCAGGCTCCTTCTGGATGCTAGCCCGGGAGCTGGCAGGGAGCACTGGGCCAGAAGACAGCCGTCTCTTGGGCCTGGGGGGCTGCCTGCTGCTGGGGTGGGGACAATGTCCCTGTGCCCCGGCAGCAGGGAGCTCCTGGCCCTGGCTCTCCAATCAGGGACATGGGGCTTGGAAACAGCTGCAGGGGAGAGGCAGATCCCAGGTCCCTGACCCAATCTGTCAGTGGGACAGGTAGCAGGGGGTCAGGGGCAGGTTCCAGCTAGCTCCAAGCTGAGCAGGGAACTGTCCCCATGCAGGGAGCTCCCAGCCCCTGTTCTGGGACCATAATTGTGATCGTGGAGTAGGGACTGGGAACAAGCTCCCAGCCTGTTCCCAGCCCCAGTTCTGCAATTTTGGAGCTGGGCTTGGAACAGCTTCCCCTGCCCCTGCCAGCAAGGAGCTCCCAGCATCAGCTCCACAGTCATGGGGCTCAGGCTGGGAGACCCTTACCCCCCAGCCTGAGCCCTGCAACTGCAACTGCAACTGCAGGGCTTGGGCTGGGAGGTGAGGGTCTCCCAGCCCAAGCCCCACGGCTGCAGAGTTCAGGCTAGGAGATAAGGGTCTCCCAGCCCCCTGCTCCCTAATCACAATGGCAAAGCAGGAGCTGAGATATAAGCATCTCCCCACCCAGCATCTCCCACTCTAGCAGCAGGCAGCTCCCAGGAGCAGGAAGCTTTGTCCTGCCCCCTGGTGGATGGCTTACTGGGAACAGATTTTGCTCCAGGTCGAGCATCTACACAAGCGCTACTATGCTGTTACTAATCCCGAGTAAATTTGCTACTTGCATTTGCAGATTAAGGAGGTTTACTGTGAAGCAAGCATGTGCATGTGTAGACATGTTTACTTCTCAGTAAACTACACTAATATGAAGTTAAACATCTTGTGTAGACATTCCCAGTGAGTAGTGCATGGCTTAAATCCTATACAACACTAAACTTCACTCTGAATATTTTTTTAAGGGGGCACGAGGGCACTGGGAAATCAGGAACTGTTGAGTAAATTCTAATCTTGGCTCTGCCAGTGACTCAATCCACGTAGGCTCTGGCAACTGTCTGCCACTTGGAACACAGCATTCATATCAGCTCACATTAATATTGTATAAAGTGCACAGGGTGAATATAGACTAAACAGGGTCTAGATCAAGCACAATAGTAGTGGCCCCATATAAAGGCCCCCCCTGTCTTTTTTTCTCTCCTTAACTGGAATATATTCAAATACATCAAATTGAAAAAAACCTTCCTTTCATATAGTGCCCTGCTAATCTTTTAAAAACTGACAGGCAGAATATCGGGCATCTTATTTGTCGCAGACCTACTTCAGAATGTACAGTGCACAGTGTACAGTATTTTTAACCCCTCTGGCTTGACAATATTTTCAGTGAATGGTTTTTCCTTTAGAATCAAAAAATGATTTCTGTTTGAATGATCTCTTCTGGGAAATGTAAAATAAAAAGCGCTTCTCTCTGACCATGAGACTATTCTGCCATTATGTTTGTTTTCATGTTAAAGTTCAGCTCCCTTAACTGAGAAACTGAATTCAATTACAGAGTAATACAGAAAAAATATGCGACAGGGAAGCCAGATCAGAAGGATCTCAGTGAAAACTTGGCAGCTACTCAGGGACTTGCACATATGATAATGGAATGCAACAAACTTTTTGAGGTGAGTGAAGGACTCAAACAGCATTATTCATGGGGACCATGGTACAGAATGGAGCCCGCTGAAGTATTTATGGTTTATGCTTATATTTTCTCTATCATTTTAGCTTTGAGGTGATAGTTCTTAACTTATTTATAAATGTGTTTCATTTGAAGTTTATTTAGCCCATTTTTTCAGGACAGTCTCCTTTAATCTTTTAAGGCACTATTGGTAACATCAGCTAATTACTCTTGAGGAATTTTCACCAATGTATTTGGTTTGAAGCAATTTTACTTTATAACAAAGCAGTTGTGATAACATTTAAATAGTTATATGCTTCCAGAGCCTTACTGAAAAATAACAAGGGAGCTGACACGCTTTATTCTTTATTCAGTGTAACAGAGTTATAATCACCCAGGACTTTACAGGTGTTAATGGAACTACATATCATTCATTTCCTCCCACACCAAAAACACAAGTTAATATTCTTTGAATTAAAGGGATTCCTGTTCGCAACATGAGGACTTTGATATAAAGTTCAGCAGTGTGATTCTATCCCATAAAATGCAATGTTATTCAGACTGGGTGCATCTACGTGTGCATTTAAGCACAACTAAATTTAATGCACTTAACCTAATGCATATTCAGTGATTTTTGGCAGGTGTCTACATGCGCAGGGACCTGGCACTAAAGTTACTTCCAAGTCCCTGCAGCCCTACCATGCGCCTCTAGTGGCTGGGTAGACCCATCACTAAAGATAGTGCCGGGTCACAACTACATGTGCATTAATGTGCACTGATCTACATCAGTGCTTCTCAAACTATCTGATGTGGTGGACCGGGAATTTTTTTTCCAGTGGGCCAGGGGCTACACAAATATGCGACCGCCTGTTTCTTTCTCTTTCCTCACCTCGCACGACATGACATCACCTGGAGTGTTGAAACGTATGAACTGTGGCACTATGACATATCAATGTTATGCTTCTGAAAATATATTTCTTTCTTTCCTGGCAACTCACTGCAGACCGGCCAGTCCGTGGACCACCACTTTGAGAAGCACTGCTCTACATGACATATTTAATTTTATTACAAAAAATATTTTCGGCATGATTTGTGTTTGCATAGTGTATATAGAGGTGATTGCATAATAACTCAAAAATGAATTCTTTGTCTTGTATATTGTGTGTGGGGGGTGTGGTTATGGGGGGGTGGCACAGCAGCAGGTGGGGGCAGTCAATGTGCTTGTGCCTGGTGCTGGTGCCCAGTGGGGTGCAGTTCCAGCCAGCACTGCACATCGCAGCAAGGGGTACAGTCCCTGCTTGGCAATCTCTATCACTGGCCCTCCCCGCAGTGCATGCGCAGCCCCCACACTTGTGCAGCACAGAAAGGAAGCCCCACATACTGGAGTCAGCTCCCTTTACCACTCCCTGCCATGCACATGCAGCCCACGCACTCACATGGCATGGGAGGGAAGCTATACATGCTGAAGCTGATTGCCTTCCCTGTTCCCTGGACCAGCATGGCAGGGAGTGGCACAGGCAGCCAGCTACAGTGCATGGGGCTTTCCTCCCATGCTGCAGTCCCCCCCCTGCCACTTTCCTACCTGCTGCCTGGAGCAGGCAGGGCTTGGGGAAGCTGAGCAGGTCACTGGCAGCTACAGCAGCAATCCCACCAAGATGCTGCCTTCTGGCTGGGCTGGGCCCTTCCACCTATGGGGGTGGGAGCAAGGCGCAATAGGGTATGTTAGGGGGGTGTATATGTGGGTGCCTCACTCCCACCCTCATGGGCAGAAGGGCTGGGTAGGGCATAATTCATTGGTGGGCACCGTGGTCTGGATGAAAGGGTCTGGTGGACCCGATCTGGTCTGTGGGCCATATTTTGCCTGTCCCTGGTGTAGATGCACCCACTGATTTGACTATTTCATTCTAATACCTTTGTTTCTCAAGATTAATGGAAAATAGCACTGAGTATTTTCTTTCATAGACTGTACATCCATTTTGCTTGTATACAGAATAATTCATCATTCTGAGAAACATTTCTCTTTAAAGGCAGTTTTCAAAATAAGTGTTTCTACATTCTTCCTGCTTTCTTTGGAGCAGGTCCCACATGACATGGTAGCCCAATCTCGGAACTCCTACGTGGAGGCTGAAATTCATTCTCCAACACTGGAGGAGCTAGGAAAACAAATAGATGAAGAAGGAGGAACTTACCAAATGTACATTGAAAGTCTGCTGCAGAACCTTCAGAAAGAAGCGAAAGAAAAATTCAAAGGCTGGATCACCTGTCCCAGTATAGAGAGCACAGAGCTTACCTACAAAAAGGTAATTTGAAGATAAATAATAAATGCAACTGATCATAAAACAACTTCCCCATTTCAACAGAGAGAGCTTATCACATGACAAAATAAACACACATTATTTTTTAAGTCTTCCGAGACAAATAAGCAATTTTTTTTAAAAGAACCTGCTAAAAAGTCCTAATAGTTAATAAAAGTGTAACAGGATTACCATTTACCTCTGGCATCCCTAGTGTGGGCAACAGAAGCCAGACTGAGGTCTCAAAACACCTAACAGAGAAAGTAGTAAAGCAAACCATGGAAACAGAGAGAGAGGATGAGGGAAGAGAGGAAAAACATGTTATACTAGCTGAGTGAGCTGATTATGTGAAGAATGGCCAACTTTCCTGGCTATCTTTTTGCCTTCTGTAAACAATTTAGTGGAATACAATAGAGAAGGCACAAGGAGGTTTGGGAAATTCTTATTTAAAATAGGCACAATATAATTTCCTGCCTGCTCTGCCTGGTCAGTCCTGCAAAGCTATGGAATCTTGATATCTCTGATGTTAATACAGAATCACATAAAAGTAGGGACCACTGGATGTCATCTAATTCAGCCCCCTGCCTGATAGGCCCATCCCTATCCAAAGTATCCCGTATAAATCTTTGTCTAACCTATTGCTGACACAATCAACCCTGTCCTACAGCCACAAGGCCTATGCAACAGGTAAGACACCCTAAACTTCCATAGGTGAAGCAGGGGACAAGGGTGGCTATGTCCTGCTGCTGCAAGGTTTCTTAAAATGCTCTTGAGAAATCTAAGGAAGAAGGCCATGCCCCCTGCTACAGAAGAAGCAAAAAAATCCCCACAGTCTGTACCTAGCTGACCATAGAGTAAATTTCCTTCCTGATTCCAAATGTGGTGATCGAGTCTGACCATGCTGTTGTTACCACCCTATTCAGCACAGTACTGTCCCTCAAAATATCATCTTGGGCATGCTAGGGTTTACTCCAGCCTGCAGAGCAGAATTCAGGGTGAGTGAGCAGCATTTTTTATATGAAAGCCTTTCCACCACTACTATTTTGGAGCCACTGAAAGAAGAATCTTTAGATATCTAGGCACAAGAATGAGCCACCAGGTCTACACATTCCACACCGATTATTTCTATTGCACTGATTAGTGAGAGGGGCACACCCTCAATTCAGAGTACCTTTATAGCCTTCTTCCCTGTTGAACATAAGATTCTTTGCCAGCAACCAGTCCCTCTATCTACCTAGGGGTTTTTTCCAAACATTTCCCATTCCCTGGCTTTTTCTCTGACCCATGTTCCACTTTCTTAAGATATTTGGGGCAAAGACTTATTCACATCACACTATATAGAGTAACTCTAGTGCCATCAGGAAAGCTACTTCAGATTTACATTGATCTTAGACCAGAATTTAATCCATTGTTTTAAGTGCCGCAGAGGTGTATTTCTGTACAGGAAAATAAATAACAGTGAATAATATTATCTCTAAATATAAATGGTCCAAAACTTTATCTTAAGCATATGCTAATAGTCCCCTTCATGAATTCTTGATTCATTCTGCAGTGAGCATATATTCATAGATCCAGCATTTTCATTTTCTCTTTACTTCAGGTGGGGGATGGGAACCCACTACGGCTTTGGAAAGTATCAGTTGAAGTGGAAGCACCCCCGTCAGTCGTACTAAATCAGGTGCTAAGAGAACGTCATCTTTGGGATGAGGACTTCTTGCAATGGAAGATCATAGAGACTCTGGACAAGCAGACAGAAATATACCAATATGTTTTGAACAGCATGGCTCCCCATCCCGTCAGAGATTTTGTAGTTTTAAGGTAAGCGAAAGGTAATTCTCCAGTGTCTTTCACATTGATGTTAAGAAGATCTGTACTTACCAATATCTATCTTTAACATTTACACACTTGCATATAGAGAGCACACATGCCATGTACATTTGTGCTACAGTGTATTATTCCTCAAAGCAAATCACAGCTATGTACTTACAGCACACTGACCTTTATCTGAATGGTAGTGTTAAAGTGATGTTGTAGCCACAGTGGTCCAGGAAGTATGCAAGAAACAAGTATTTCTTAGAGTGATATTTTTAATCAGACCAACTGCATAGTTAGGATTGAGTTATACAAGTTTCTGATGCAAAACATTTTTCTTCAGCTTCTCTGACTCCATCCCAACTATGCAGCTGGTCCAATAAAAGACATCACCCTAAGAAATCCCTGCCTCACACTTTTCCTCAAAGAAATTTGAGCAATACTCCTGCAGCTCACTCTTATAAAACTAGATATGTTGTTCTTTCTGATAGCAATTGATAGCAATAATGGCTGTTTCACCTATCTGTGTTTGCTGTCAAAATAATACAAATACAACCCAACTCTCTGGGGAAAGGGTCTTGTGACGGTATAGGAGTTTTAAGAGCCCCCAAGAAAGGAAAAACCAATCAGGACACCTTTTAAGTTAAAGCTGCCAACTAACATTTAAAGTTGGAATATGTGTAGACCGAGAAATTCCATTGCTTGAAAACCAAAAACATTTAAGTCTGTCAATGGGCAGTAGATAACTACTCTAACATCTTTCTAGTTCACATAGGCTCTCAAATAAATATGGGAGTGAATTAACACATTGGGCATTCCAAAGAGGATCTATCCCTTATTCATTACCCTCCTGGGGAACCACCATTATTGGTGTAGAGATGCCAGTGGAAACATCTTCATCTGTTCAGTTAAAGAGCTCTTAATAGATCTGTCATCCATGATTCTGTCTGGTCCCTTTTTGAACCTGGTTATGCTGTTTGCCTCTACCACCTCCTGCAAAAATGAATCCTACAAGTCAACTAAAGCCAACTATGTATCGTGTTTAAAAAAAAAGTACTTTCTCTTGTTAGGTTTTAAACCTGTCTCCTACTAATTTCAGTGAATGCTGCAAACTGTAGTATTTTGGGATCTACACTTCTCTGTTCACTTGGTCCACAGCATTCAAGATTTTATAGACCTCTATTCTGTCTCCGCTCAGCCTTCTCCTTTCGAAACTGAAGAGTCCTAGCCTTTTCTGTCTCTCTTGTTAGGGCAACTGCTTCATATCCTTGATCATTTTAACTGCCCTTCACTGCACCTTTCCTAATTCTACAACATCCTTTTTGCGATGAGAAGACCAGAACTGCACACAGTATGCAAGATGTGGGTACATCATAGATTTGTATAATGGCATAATGATATTCTCCTTTTTTTTCTATTTCCTTGTTAATGATGCCCAACATTTCATTGGCTTTTTTGGTTGCCACTGCACACTGAACTGATGTTTTTAGAGAACTATATACAGTGACTCCAAGGTCTCTTTCCTGAGTCATAACAGCAAGTTCAGAACCCATCATTATGTATGTACAGTTGAGGTTAGTTTTCCCTTACACTTGTCAAAACTGAAGTTCATCTGCCACTTTTTTGGTTCACTCAGCCTGGTGAGATTCTTTTTCAGCTCATCTCTTTCAGCTTGGGATTTGACTACCTAGGATAATTTGGTATCATTTGCAGACTGTATACCCCCATTTCCAGGTCATTGATGAAAACGTTAAACAAAATTGAGCCTGGCAGAGCCATGCAGGACCCTACTTTTGACCTGCCCCCTTTCTGAAAATTGAACTATGAGCCCTACTCTTTGTTGCCTATCTTTTATCCAGATCTCAGGCCATAAAAGAACCTTCTCTGCAATACCATGCCAATCATTTTTTAAGATTTTGTTGAAGGACTTTTTTGAAAGTTCAAGTATATTATGTCAACTGGGTCCCCCTTGTATACATGCTTGTTAGCATCTTTGAAGAACTCCAGCAGATCTGTGAAGCAGGATTTCCCTTTACAAAAGCCATGCTGACTCTTCTTTGGCAGATCATATCTATCCATGTGACTTCTGGTTTACTTCTTTATTATAGACAGTACCAGATTACCTGGGATGGGAATGAGGCTCACGGGTCTGTCGTTCCCAGGATCACCTCTGGAGCCCTTTTTGAAGATGGGCATTATTTTGGCAACCTACCAGATATCTGGCACAGAGGCTGTTTGCAATGATAAATGACACACTATTGCCAGTAGTTCTGCAATTTCACCTTTGTGTTGCTTCAGAACTCTTGGATGGCTACCGGTTGGGCCTGGTCACTTAATAGCAGGGGTTGTCAACCAGGGGTACGCGCACCCCTGGATGTACTTGAGAAGGCCCTGGGGGGTACACGTGGGTGGGCAGGGACAGAGCACCACCATGAACCATCCCGCACTACCGCGTAGGTGCCACCAACCCACCTGGACACTGGGGGCTGGGGAAGCTTATACATGGTGGCTGCCACTGCTCTGCATTCAGCTATGCCCCTCTCACCCCCCGCTCTGTGTCCGGCCACCAGGGGTACACTGATCCAAAAGGGATGAAAAACCCTGACTTAATGGTATTTATCAATTTGTTCTAAAACTTCTGCTGTCACTTCACTGTAACGTAACTCTTCAGACCAGTGTACTAGGAAGGATTGTTCTGGCATGAGAATTTCCCCAGTATTTTCTGCAGTAAACATCAATGCAAAAAATTCTTATAGCTTCTCTGCTATGGCCTTTTCATCCACAAGTGCACTTTTTACACCCCCGGGATCAAGTGATCCCACAAATTCTCCAGCTGATGGTCTGTTTCTGATGTATTTTTAAAAGTTTTTATTATTAACTTTAGCAGCTTTTGCTAGAGGATACTTAAATTCTTTTGTGGACTTGCCTTTTTTTGCTTTTACACATAACCATTTGTGAGATATCCTGTTTTCCTTATTTGGACACCTTCCATTTTTTGAAAGATGATTGTTTGCCTTGAGTGGGCTCCTTACCTATGCTCTTAAACCATACAGGAGTTTTACTGGTCCACATAATACTGTTTTTGATTTGTGGCATATACTTTAACTGAGTCTCTAATATGGTATTTTTAATTGGCTCCCAAGCTGCCTTCAGGCCTTTTTGTCAGCTCTTTTTAACTTCTTTTTGCCTAGTTTCATCATTTTCATGCAATTTCCTTTCCTTAAACTGCATATTGACATAGTGGACTTCTTTGGCTTACTCCCACCTAGTAGGATGTTGAATTATGTTATGGTCACTATTAGAGACTAGCTCATTAACACATACCTCTTGAATTAGGTCCTGTTACTCGGGATTAAGTCTAGAACTGCTTCTCCTCTTGTGGGTTCCAAGATGAGTTGTTCTAAAACACAGTCATTTATCATGTCCAGAAATTTTATTTCCACATCTTGCCTGGATGAGGTGTTGATCCAGTCTGTGTGAAAATAGTTGGAGTATCCCATTATTATTGCTTGACCCCTTTTAGCATCTTCTCTAATCTCCCTAAGCATGTCATAATCACCTTCACCTTCCTGACCAGGTGATCAGTAGTAAAATCCTAGTATTTCATTATTTTTATTCAAGTATGGAATTTCTACCCACAGAGGCCGTGTCCACATGTGCATGGACATTTGGTTCCACGTGGACAACTAGCAGTGGCACACCTTGTGCCACTGCTAGTTGTCCCCAGGGAACATCTGTGCCACGCGCATTCTGCTGGGTAGCAAGTTACCCTGGGTGTGGTGGGGGAGGCGGGGGGGAGCACTGTGCTGCCCCAGCAGCCTTACCTGGGGTCCTGGGGGCGTCCTGGGGCTGCAGCAGCAACAATCCTGCCACAGAGCTTGGCTGGCAGTGGAACATGGCTCCAGTCAGCCAGGCTCTGGTTTTGAGTGTATGCTGCCCCTACATGCACTGCTCCACCTTTTTTTTCATACCTGGATATCCAGGGGTCAAAAAGAAAAAACCCATCCCACTCCTTTGCAGCGTGGAGACATGCAGTATGTGGCACCGCAGATGTGTCTGAGGCACCACATATCACACCGCTGCGCTTGTCTGGACATGGCCTGTGAGTCTCTGGTAGTTTTCCTTTTAGATAAGATTTTTATACTGTGACAGTATATACTAGCCTTAACATACAGTGTCACTCCTCCATCTACATGTCCTATGCTGTCATTTCCATATAATTTGTAACGTGTTATAACAGCATCCCATTGATTGTTATTAAACAAGTCTCTGAGATGTCCATTATGTCGAAGTCACCATTTAATGCCAGGCATTCTAGTTAAACCTTGAGGTTAGAGGCCCTGTTCAAGAAGAGGGGGCTCAACCCTCCTCCTCTTGGGGGAAGAGGGGGTTCAACCCTCCTCCTTCTAGAGAAATTAAAACTCACATCCCCCATGACTGTTAATGACTAGCACATCTCTTTCTGCAAGCATTAAGTGGCAAGATTTTAATGATACCCACTGTCATAATTAATCTGTTTCAAGGGAGAGACTGGATCTAAAAACTAGGTATGAATTCTGTTGGATGCTTTCCTGGAGAGATGGTTTAGTTAATTAGTGAACTCTCTGCAAAAGTTACTTAAGGAAATTCTCTCCTGTTTTCTCCCTGATGTGTTCATAGAAAGTACAGACCTTCCTGATGCCAAAACTTATTTATCCTCTGCTTAAACATTTAGGGCACCTATACATATGCCCAATGCCTGCTCCAATGCATTCTAATGAAAGCACCCCTGCCCAGCCTCATCATGGAGCATTTGTAAAGACACCCTTTTACCCTAAAAGTAATATTTCCTTTTTTTTTTTTAAATGTGTTGCACCAGGACATGGAGGACAGATTTGCCAAAAGGGATGTGTATGCTAGTGGCTGTTTCGGTGGAACATGAAGAGGCTCCTTTGATGGGGAGTGTACGGGCAATTGTGATGGACTCTCAATATTTAATAGAGCCTTGTGGCTCAGGAAAATCCAGGTTGACACACATCTGTAGAATTGATCTCAAGTAAGTATCATATCTGCAGAGTGCAGATCAATGATGTCCCTCAGTAAACCAAAGAGCACAAAGTTAAGTTCAACTGGTTTAACTGGAAAGGCCAGTTGTGCCTTCCTAGCAGAGGGGCAAGGTCAAAAAGGCACTTTGCACTTTAGAGTGGGAGATGGTGAGATCTGTAATAGTTTGAATGTTGAAGTTCACCAGTTTTGAGCCAGCCCCTGAGAAGGCTCTTGGACTCATACAGTTAAACTTCACAGCAATGACAGAACTCCTTTATGCTAGAAATGCAAAGCTGGTGACAGTGGCCTTCATCTTTGAGCTTAAATGGTCTTTTAAAGTACTAGAGGAAATGGTGTACCATGAACATAAGTACAGGACCTTGAACTTGATTTCATAGTTTATAGAAAGCCAGTTGATGGAACAGAGGACAGGTCTGATGTGCCTGAATTGCAAATGAGACATTCTGTCTATCCCAAGCTCACCACCCCACCACTTCATGCAATGCAAATACAGTGTAATTGCCTTTGGTACACTTCATGCAACATAAATTTGAGTACTGCATGGGAGAGCCTTCAAAGTACACTTATGACTGGAACAAATAGCTGATTGCCCCATCAGCACTGTGGGATTTCCATGATGCTGCAGAGTAAGGCATAACATGTATGGCCATCATCCTCTCTGAAGCACAGTTTGTCAGTAATTTCATTTCTTTTAATTTCTTCAGGGGCCATTCCCCAGAGTGGTACAATAAAGTTTTTGGACATCTGTGTGCAGCAGAAGTTGCCAGGATCAGAAACTCATTCCAACCCCTGATTGCTGAGGGACCAGAAACCAAAATCTGAGTAACAGTTCCAGGAAGGTTGTAAGCATAAGTCAGGATACAGTAGAGAACAGAAGGACCTGAGGCAAAGAACTCATTTGATTAAGGCTGCAGTTACTGGCTGGAGAAGGGTGACCTGAAGTCTGTGCAGTGGTGAAACAGGAATTTTACAGGAAGACACTTTCATTCTGGAGGTGTTGCTCACCTACTACCTTCATTTCCATTACTGAAGTAAACATTTTTTTTAAAGAGCTTTGATCACCATTACTTCAAAATGAATCTATTACCATTACTTGTGTTGAATAATTCTGATATTTAAAGGCTTCTAAGAAGCATATTTTATTTGTAAATAAACAATGTACAATATGTATGTATTTATCCATATATTATATAGGGTTGTATGTATAAAGTAATTATTTTGTATATAATTTAGTGCTTTCTAACAATCACATTCATCCATTTGGACCATATATGTCTGTCACTTGTTTCTCAGTGTTTCAATGCTACATAAACTGTATTTTCTTATTATCACAGGGCTATATGATGTAATCTGTGTGATACCTAAAGAATTGAATGCTTGGTCATTCTCATGTTTGTTTTGTGTGTGATGTGTCTAGGTTACAAGAAGGTACACAGAGTTCTGTGTAGGGAGTTTGAAAGGAATAATGTGGGAAATAAAATGCTAATGCAGACAGTGTAGCCAGGTGCACAGTTTGAAGACTTCACACTGTTCAGCAGGAAGTTTGTGACTGTATAATATTCTTTGAAAACTTGCTGTTGCCTTAAACAATGAAATATTTGCAGTTACACAGCCTTGCTCTTTGCAGAATTCAAGGTACTTCCCATAATTTTGGGGAAGTAGAAGGGAATGTTGCAGATAAGGTAAAGAGTAAGGTTCTTTATTAACTCAAATTGGTAAGTTATGGAGAGCCACCAGTGTTAAATGTTTCTTTTAGACCTCCGGCTAGGCTCTAAACAAGTACTTAAAGCTGTTCTTTCATTCTTCTGCCAAGATATTTAATTGTTTAGCAAAGTCCAAAACAATGTTTCTTATAACGGACTGAAAGGTGCAGATAACTCTCTTTTTTATACCTCCACGTAGAAATAAACTAAACTTTTTTTAAAAAGTTGTTTATGCATTTCAGAAAATTTAAAAGCTTAAAAATGAAAACTAATTCTTGAAAAAATGCTTATTTAATAACAGTAAACATTTTCATATTATGTGTTGCACTATCTTCATGCCATCATCCCTGCTTCTGTTGAGAGCAGTGGGACCAGGATGTGCCCCTGGTTAAGAGGAGTAAGAGCCATTCAAGTTGACTAGAGCATTTCATTTTCAGGGACTTACTATTTTGCTAAATGAGGAATGCTTTAAAATGCTGAAAATTAGTTGAAGTTATCTTTAAGACGGGGTTTTTTTTAACTAACGTAAGACCAAAAATGTAGTTGTATACATACCAGTCTGCTAACACAGTTCTCCTTCATTAGTAGATTTGTTCACCTTAATCTTATTTATTGCTGCAGAAGCTAGCTTGGTTATTCAAGATACATCTTTCAGTTCACTTTTTTAAATGTATCCCACAGAGATTTATTGAGAGTTTGATTCAATGTGATACATGTTTTTACCAATAGCCATAGCATTTTGTACCATAATTCAGCAACCTGTTTTGAAGAATTAGCGTCTGCCAGTACTTTGAAACTGCTTAGATTAGATCCGTGTTGTGATATTTGTCAGCAATGTGCAATTGTCAGTTTTCTGTAAGTATTAGAAATGCAAGTACTAAATTATCTGCATTTGCCTATATGTATCATAAGATATCTGGATACCACAGTAACCACTCTGACCCTAGAGATAGACAGTTACAGAAATGATTGCTCAAGAGGACAGAATTTCATACTACATCCTATTATTAATTTGTCAAAACCAGTTTCCAGCTGGCAGCAATTGTCACTACTGTAAGCTCCAGAGGAAAGCAAACTTCCCCAATGCGTATAGCCATAGTAGCAGTATCCTAAAGCATGAGATTTTAATGCCCTTGTATTACCTTAGCTATCATAAATAAATAGGCATTAATGGACACAAAATTAACCAGGCACTGGGAATGGCAATTCTGTAAATTAGAAGTAAACCATTTGGGAAAGCAATTAAAAAAAAAAAAAAGTTAGCCAACTACAATAGTTGTTTTATCCCAACACATTAGCAGTTGGAAGGTTTTCTCAGTCCACCTACTGTACTTACCAAGATCGTAGACTAACCTTTCATTGTTGGGTGCCTCACAATCTTTGTGGATGTACTTGCAGCATCTCTAAGCCATGTATCAGTGAAATACATTTTCTGTAAAATTGTGCATTTAGACACTACCAGTCAGATACTGCAGTATTTTGTATCAAGTGTTATGTTGCCATTGGAAATACACTATGATAGTTACATTTTTTAAACATTATACTCATATTAATACCTCATATTTTTACCTCATTTGTTGGTATCAGTCATCAACTGTAAATAAATAACTGCAGAACTGAATAAATTTGCATACACTAAAAATTCTCATTTCCTTTAATTGTGTGTGCTCATTCTCATACGCAGGTACAGGATACAAATTGGGCACAAGGAGACTTGTCTTCCCTGCACTGAAGACTGCTACATAAAAAAAAAAATGAAATGCTTATAATCAGAGTAGGCCCCAAGGTGACATACTTTATTTTTTTTTTTTACTGTCTGCAACCATACAAGGCACCTCACAGAAAATAAAGATGTTGCCCATGCCTCCGAAAGAAGGCCACTTCTTTAAGGGTTTGTCTTGAGGTCCACATACTCAGAGATATTTAAGCGCCTACCTTTCATTGAATTAAAGGGAAATTGAGTACCTAAACAACTTTGGAGACAGTGTCCTTTGAACCTTTCTCTTACCTTGCACCCAATCATTTAGTGATTAGTCAGCAGAAAGGTGAAGGGCCTAGATCCAATTTTTTTTTTAATCGACTCAGAGCAGGAACTTGAACCCAGGGCTCCTACAACCAGCAAGTCTTCCGGCAACTGTACTATTGCCATGGGCCTTATTCTGTCTCTGTTTTGCATGGGCTGTGCCCTAGCACTGAAAATGCCTAAACTTCTGCTGCTGGGAATGTGCAGAACCAACAGAGCCTGAAGTGCTTGACACCTAACCTGTGATTGTGATGACTGTGCCCCAGCAGGTTTCACAAACACCCTTTCTGCAGGGCCTGGTCTAGTACATGTTCTCATAAGGCAAGAAATAATTCCCTCCCACTGCTTTTAAGCCAAAGCCTAGTAGTTAATGTGTTTACCCAGACTGTGTAGGAGATACAGGTTCAAATTACCTACTCTTATTTCCTTACTCTAAGATGAGTGCCCTAACCACTAGGGTAGAGCCATTTCCCTCTCTGTTCTTGTCTGGACCAATGAATATTTCATGAATCCATAAAAAGTGGAACAGCTCTAGGTGGGAAAGTGTAAGAGCACCTTCCCCTACACTACCATGCTACTAGTGGGTATAGCACTTTCTTGTGGACTTAAATCCAATCAAACTGAAAAGTGAACTGAACCTGCCCTCAGCTTATATGGGTGTTCACTGGGGGGAGACCTTGGTTCCACCCTCCGTATCAAGGAGTTGTATGTATTTCTATATTGAATTGGTCATTAGATAAAATACATAAGAATGGTTCTTGACAGAGAGACCAGGACCCAAGGTTTGCTTTTCCCAGGTGACTGCTCTAGTGCCAGGGTAGAAAATCATGCTCAACATACTCCCTCCCTTGGCTCAATGAATGTTGAATTATTTTGTGCAAAGTAGCACAGTCAACCAGAGGGCTGGAGCATGTCCCTGCCTCAGCACCTCTTATATCCTGAGAGGTAAAAGATGTAGATTCAACTACAAAGGAGAAATATGAAAACCAAAGGTTATGTTGGCATAACTAGTCTTGAACCTATGTGTGAGGTGCTGGGTGTTATCAAGAAAGTGTATAACAGAGTTCAAATATCTGCACATTGATATGAATGGCTTAACAGCATCATACAAAGCCACTTCATAGGAAATGAATCCCAGTACAATACAAAATACATTTAAGAGAAGATGCTGAGTCTGTAGCCTGTTTCAATGGTAAAAGCTTACAGACCTTAAGAAAAAGATTAGAAGAGCTGTGAAACATGGCATTTAAAGACTAGAAGAACTAACAGAGTGGGTTCACTTCTTACTAATCTCAGAGGGGGAAAGAGGGAGACCATGACTGGACCCTAAAAAGCTGAACAAAACACATAAAAAGGGAATATTTTCACTTCTCCATCAAAATCCAAATTCTTCAGGCACACCAGATGCATCAGCGAGGCAGATGCCTGAACAGTGAAAACAAAAATGGGCACTTTCACCACACCATGGGGTACATACTGCTTCCTATGACTGCTTTTCAGAATATCTTCAGCTCAACAAGAATGTCACCTTACAATAAACTAGATACTAAGAATACAGGAATTTAGCTTAGTTAAATATCAAGAATGTCTGAGAAGAGGACTGAAAATGGCATGAGCTGACAGTCTTAAACTGGATAAAGCCAAATGTCAGTTTTAAACAAGGGAAATAACATGCTTGGGGGGGAGGGGGGAGAGAGAGAGAGAGAGAGAGAGAGAGACTGCCTTCTGTCTTGCCTGGTGAACCAAAGATTCAGGCAATATGGAACACGCTGAGATCTAGAGAGAGAAAGACTGATGTACACACACTGAATTATGTAAGCAAGTTCATACTTAACTATGCTGCTCACACGAGAGATTCACAGGGTCAGAAGGGACCTCGACAGTTCATCAAGTCTGACCCCCCTGCCTAGGCAGGGAAAAGTGCTGGGGGGGTCAGATGACCCCAGCCAGATGCCTCTCCAGCCTTCTCTTAAAACCCCCCAGGGTACAGGAGAGCCCCACCTCCCTTGGAAGCCCATTCCAAATTTTGGCCATCCTTACTGTGAAGAAGTTTTTCCTGATGTCTAGCCTAAATCTGGTCTCTGTCAGCTTGTGACCATTGTTCCTTGTTACCCCAAGAGGTGCCTTGGTGAACACAGCATCTCCAATCCCTTGCTGCGTCCCCCTAAGGAATTTGTAGGTGGCCACAAGATCACTCTCAGCCTTCTCCTGCAGAGGCTGAAGGGCTCCAGGTCCCTTAGTTTCCTCAGAGGCCTTGGCCTGCAAACACTTAACCATACAAGTGGCCCTTCTCTGGACCCTCTCACCTAA